TAATGGCTGTAATTGATCCCAGTTTTTGGCTTCCTGCTAGGGCGATTGAGCTATCGCTGCTGCAGCTAGAGCCACCAGTGCCAACATTCTGCCTTCGCTGTGGCACAGAAGCACCATGTTGGACACTGCCCCACCAGCTGCTCCACATTCCTACAGGGCCACAATTGCATCTCTGGGATGGCAGAAGGACTGGAAAGAAGGGCTGGAAGATTCTGCTTCCTCCACAACCATTGTCTTGCGCTGTTCTGCCAACCTGACAATGTTCTTTTCTTTGCTTTTTAAATACAAAGCCATAAATGCATAAGGAATAAAATGCTCTAATTTATTCTACAAAAGTGTTCATCAAGTGAGAGACAGGACTCTGGGAAAAGATTAAGAGCTTACATTTTTCATTTGACTTATTTCGCATAAAATTTCATAGAGGATAAAATGATGGGAGGCAAAGAAGCAATGATATTTCTGTTTTATCTCTGTCTAAGGACCATAAATCTTTCTGAAGTATCATTAATTATAGCAGCGCAATTCACAACGCTATTGTTAAGGGTCTATCAGCAGTCCCATTATAAACCCCCTATTTTCAGGGGTTTATAACTTGGTTAGAATAATTTTGTTTCAGGCAGAAACTTTGCTGGGGCAACGCCTCCATCTAAGATAATTTTTAAAAAATAATTAAAACACAAAGGAAAGTATTACCTCTTTTGAATTGATTAATGGAGAGCCCAGGAACTTTCTAGGGGTATAAATCTAATACTGTATTGGCTGATTGTATCTGTACCATTTGTGAATTCATAAAACTGAATGCACTGAAGTTATCTCTTAGATGAATTTAGATCGTTCCTTTACAAGGAAAGTTTCCAATTACCATGGCTGAATTCAAGATCTGGAATATTCCTCTAGTGGCTGTAATCAAATCAGATTTGATTTCTTCCTTAGCTGGAGCCAGTCAAGAAAGAATTTAGCAGACCTGAAAAACAGCTTACATGCTAAGAATATTTCAATGTCTTTGGGTAGCTCGCCTTATTTATTTTTTTTCTCTACTGAAGGCATGACTTACATCAAGAATCAGTGAAGGTCAATGGTCATAGCCAAGAAAGTGAGTTTTGGCTTAGCAGCAATGCAGAAGATTCCCTATGAATGGCTGAGCCACAGTGAAGTGTGCTGATAGGTGCTCAGTTTCTCCAGATGCATGGTGAAAAATGCTCTTCGGTAGACATGAGTGAGACTGGGAGGGCACAGGAAAGAAAGGCCAAGGCTTCCCCAAAAGAACAAAATGATCAGGCAGCCTTTTGCCCATAGTAACTTGCAGGTTCATCGAGGAAGCCTGAGAGCTCTGCCCAATTGAGTCCTTGCAGCATAGGAAAGAGCGAGATGAATGTAATACACCACACCACGATGGGATCGACAAAGCCATTGTGGTCTCTTTCTAAAGCCATGGATATTAATGAATGCTAACTTCTGAGCAACTTCTTTCCTGCTTTAAAGTAGAAAGATTAGATGAAAATGTATTTTGTGAAGAGTGTGCTGACACCCTCAGGTAATCTTCATCCTCTGTCCTCATCAATAATCTAACAGTCTACCTTCCCTGTTACATTACTGTCTGCAGTAATGCAATTCACTTTGCTCCCCTTAGATCCTATTAGAATCTCTCACATTACAAAATTCTTCCAGCTCTGCTCTATAGTGCACTGGGATTGTTTAGTCTTAACTTTTTCTGGCTGTTTTCCTCGACTACAATTCTTTGCACAGGAACAGACTTTTGTGAATTGCACATTTAACCTAGCAGTGAGTGAGAAGATCAAAAAAAGCAATGCATGTGGGTATTGTCCTACAGGGTCTCTAAAGCATTCCGATTCTCCTTTGAACACTGGTGAATGTAGCTTGTTATAATGAGTTCCACTATCTAAAGTACTTTCTTCTATCAGTTTTGATTGTGTTGTCTTTTAATTTCATTGCCTGTGTCCTTTGAAAGGATAAATAGGCATTGGTAAATAGAAAAACACATTTCTACAAATTACTCAATCCCTTATGTACCTTCTTTGTATTACATCTTACTTTTCTGCTCTCCAAAGTAAAGCAGTCTTAATGTTTTGTTTGTTTGCTTTTTCTAATATGGAAATCTTTCCATATCTCATAATTTGTTGCTGTTATTTGAGCAGATGTCTTCCTGGAATTCTCCACAGTTATTTATGACAAGACAATCATACTCAGTGATGTTATGTAAAATAGAGGCACTTCATATACGTAGGCTGAGGTCTTTTTTGGCTGCTCCAACAACATTAAGATCTTAAAGTAGGCAGAGATGGCTCTCTGACAACACTCTTACAAGAACTGCAGTAGAAGGAAGAAAAAATGTGGAAAGCTCCTATATTTCCTTCATTCTTATAGCTGGAATAAATGTGAAATACCACTTTGTACCCAGTGTACCGCTTCCTAAGTTTAAGGAGAGAAACATTCATGGCTTCTTAACCAGAAGCAAATCTCTGACACACTCGGTGACGTTAGATTTGCTATCTGATCTCCAGTCTTATCTGATCCATTTCTCTCTAATCCACAGTATTTTTTTAGATTCTGGACTTTGCAATATTTATTGTTTGCAACTGTGATTCTTGTGCATTTCCCACCTCAGCTCTGTTCTAGCATATACCAATACGCTGAAATTCTTGAGGCCTGACCCTGAGGACTATTGCAAAAATAGGGTAGAATTGTTGTGATAATTATCTTAAACCAGTATTTTCAATCTTTTGACAGTATGAGTATTGAGTATTTTGATGAAATTGAAGATATGTGGAAGGGCTCAGAGGACTGGAAAAGGAGACTGTAAATGGAGAAGATTGAAAAAAACATTAACATAAATGCAAAGCTCTCTTCCAGGCTCTTGTATTACAAAGAACTAAGTAGAAGTAGCATTCCAAGATTTAATTTTGTAAAAGCAAAGGAATTCACTCATTTTCACAGCAGGGAAACTTTATTGCAGTAAAAATCTCAGGTCTGTTAAAGTAGCATGCTCTCTGTGGTTTTGCTTATTGATTTTGTTTATTAGCAAATGGATTTGTGCTGAAAGACGGGATTTCCTTGCATCGCTGTTCCTGCAGTGCAAATATTTGAGTAAACTATGCACTTCATCATGACCACAAGATACAGATGGATCTCGCAGTGTTGCAGAAAGGGCTGGACAGGAAAAACACTGCAGCAGCATCCTTCCCTTCCAAGGTCCAGCGTGATGAAATGGAGAGTGTCTGTAGATCTGAGGGATGGAGAAGCATCTCTGCGCTCACTGTGTAACCTTCCAGCCTTCTCCAGGTTTTTCTTGGTTTACCAGAGAAAAAGGCTGAAACTCACTGCTTTGTTATTTCTGCAGAGAAACTTTCTGCCTTGCCTTGTGCTCCTTTTTCAAGGGTTATAAAGCATTTCTGTTCCAGGTCACTGCACATAGACGTTGAATTTTCATCACAGACATGATGCCATTTTTTTACTTCAGCATTTATCTGTCTTCTGGTCTTATATGGCCACGCTTATCATAAAAATCTCATAGCTCACAATCTTTAACACGTTATTTATCCCTCCAAAAAGTATGCGTATTGGTGATGCGCTGGCACAGACTGGTGATGCACCTCCACCCAGGGAGGTGGTGGAGTCACTGTCCTAGAAGGTGTCCAAGAACTGTGGAGACATGGACTGAGGGATGTGGTTAGTGGACATGGTGGGAGTGGACTGGGGTTGAACTGGATGATCTTAGAGGTCTTTTCAACCTTCATGTTTCTATGATTCTATATGAAAGGTACCTGAAAATATGCAGTAAACCATTTTAACCTCTGAGGCTATGGATCTTTGAGAATTTCCTTCTTATTAATTCTGGAAAGCCATTCATAAGCTTGAGACCAATAATGCACATAAAATGTTCATATCCAAATGGAAATCCCTCTTTAATGTATTAGAGGTGTACAAGTCACAAATGAGGGTGGTTTGATTTTTTTTTTCCAGTCCCTAAATGCAGAATCCTGCCTTTGCTTGAACAAAAACCACAAACCAAATGAGGCTCACAGCATAGAAATCACCAAAATACACATAAAGCCCGCATTTCCAGTTGTTTTATTTTAACAGACTGAAATCTAGGAATGTATCTCTAGGAATAACTGAAACCACTGTTGACTGTTCTGTGTCCTTAGTATATACATACAGTATTAATTAAAAACCAAAACACACTAAGAATGGTGATTCTTTCCCAATCATGTAGTGCTCGTATGGGAACTGTTGAGTCACAGCCTGAGCCACTGATTGAGCACCTGTGGAAAGGGCTGGGTCAGCTCTCGAAACACAGGTGAAGGCAATTCAGTTGTGTGACCAGAAGGGGTGAAACCTGGCTGCACCTCTCTTAGACCCCATTTAAGGGCTGACTGTGATGGGGAAATGATTTCTTTTTGGAGATCTCTCCTTGCTGAGGCTTTCCCCTGTGGACCTGGAATCTTCTGATATGGGTGAGCAATTTTCTTCCCTTCCTTTGTAGCATCCTGCTATCGTGCTGGTCCTTTCTTCCTCACACCTTTGTTGTAACGCCTTTCCCATTGTATTGATCTGTCCAATTGTTACAGCACTAATAGCCAGTCTGTGAAAATGTGAAATTAAAACGTTTGTGGGATACGTTTGTGCCACTTCCCTCTTTTGGAAGCAATTATTGGCACACTGAGCTGCCTCTCCTCTCTCCAGCGGCTCTCGTGAATTTGGAAATATCTGAAGGCTTAAACCCCTCCCAGTCTGAGGTTGCAGATAGAAGTTGCTGTTTTGGTGTAAAACATGACAGCTGGTACTCTGAGACAACTGCTCAAAGAGGGCCAAAACCCTCTTGATGTCAGAGAAACCCGAGGACGCACCCAAAATTAACAACGGGGAAAAAAAAAAAAAAAAAAAAAAAGGAAAAAAAAAAAAAAATACAAGGAGCGCAAAGCACTGTGGGAAGAGGGCGGAGGCGCGGGGCATTGTGGGAATGACGTCACTGAGCACCGCCCCGAGGGCGCCTCCCTCAGCGCCCGGACGCCGTCCGCAGGCGTTGTGCGCATGCGCAGAGGGAGGCGGAAGCGTGGCGGTTGCCGTGACAACGGCGTCCGGCCCGCGGCTCGGGATCGGGTCGGGAGCCTTCACCTCCGGCCCGGCCGCTCCATGCCGCGGAAGGTGCTGCGCTGCGTCCTGCAGCTGGAGATCCGCTCGGTGAGTGCCCGGGCCGCGACTCCTGCGGCCTGCCTGCTGCCGGAGTGCCACTCATGTTCCTTCCGGAAGGAGTTTGCATTGATCAGGGTTAGAATTGAATTCGGCAGTGCACACAGGGTCTCACGGTTACCGTAGATGATGTCAGGGGGGGAAAAAGAAAAATAGAAGAAAACAAAAGAAAAACAGTCTGCAATTCATCCTTCATACCTTAACTTTGGTCCCTTCACAGCTGCGCTGCGGCTGTTGTTGAACACAGTGAGGTTCTCTAGTGAAACCAGGTGATGTTATGTACACAGTAGGTCTGTCTTGGTTCTTATTACTGTTTTTTTTCTGTATCTTTCTCGTGACCTCTGACTTCTGAATTTTCATTGAGGAATTTCATGAGTGTTCCTTGACTTCTTGGACCGGGATCAATAAAGTTGTTTAAAGATGTGGATTCCAACGTATACAGATGAATGTTTTTAATAGCAACCCTTAATTGATGTAATTGACCATTACACTGATGCTGTCCTTCGGCCAGTTCTATATTACCATAGGACTTTCTTGCTAACTTCCCTCTTTGCATCGTAGGTAGCAGTATCTCACGTGGCACCATGTGACATTACTGATGCCCAGATAAAGTTAGATACCTTTTGCCCAGAAAACATTGAGTTTTGCTTGCCTGGTCTTCTTTTTATTAAACACGTGCTGCCAGGCTTTTTTCCTTCTCATATTTGCCTCCATAGCCTTTATTATTTCATATTTAATATTCTGGTTGATGAGGTATAATTGCTCAGGTCTCTTTTTCTGCCTCAAAGGTGCCTCACAGTTGTTATTTTTCAGCCAGACAGCGTTGTCCTTTTTTTCTCAATTTCTGGTTCTTTTTCAATGCTCTGCATATTTCTGAAGCCTCTTAGAAACCTTTTGACCTGTGTCAGAAATTCTGTCATATTTGATTTTCTCTTGCTTAGGATACGTGTTCTAGTTTGGTTTAGTTCCTTTTAACTTAATCTAAGTTCCAAGGTGTTTTCCTATCTGAAATGCATGAGTCCTTTGGTTTATTTCATAGGCAGTCGTCTTCATTTCTGAAAGGCTGCTCCTCTAAAATTGAAAACCTTAGCTTAAGACCATATTTGGTTTACCCTGCCATTAGTTTAAATTGAATAATTCATGATTGCTCAGACTGAGCTTTCATTGTTATTTGTTTTCTGAGACTAATTTTGGTTCCTACCTCTGCTGCTGGCATTTAGATTGCTCATGTAGCAACAGAATGAAATTCACATTATTCTTCATGTCACTGCTACTTGGAGAATTCACAAATGTGGCAGTGAAGTATGTAAAGCTTTAAGCAGCAAGATGAATTAATAGCATTGTGGATTACTGTCAGGTAAGGAGACTAAAATGTCATCTCTTTATATTGAGAAGATTATTTTTGTAACTCTGAGTCCAAAGGGCTATTCTTTGTGTAAGCTAGCACTCCACAGAAGTTAATACTGTCCATTGCCCTTCATGCAGAACACTTTCTGTTTGGTAGTGATGGGCTCCTAAAGGGATTTTTTTCATGGCCAGCCTTTCTCATTGGTTGCATATATGTGGTATAATTTGAGTATTGAGTGTAGGAGGGGAAAAAAAATGAACACTGTATCAGATGTTGGAACAATAGAAGTCTGTTCCTTCCCACGAGGTGAATTCAGTGATTTCATTATGGCAGTTTGTGGTGTCCCAGCACTAGGGATGGCATGTCTTCATCCTTCTGGAACTGCACATGGTAACAGTTGTTTCTCTTTGATAGCCCCCCTGGTTGGTTGTAAGAGCAGTTAATTCTGAAAATTATTATACCGTTTTTAAAATGGTCCCTTATTCTGCCTGAAAGGTTTGCAATTAGTTAAGGACTTCAGTTTGTCTCTTCAGTGTTCTGCAGCTCTGTGCAGCGTGTATTACCTAACACACTTCATGAACTGTGGATATACATGTACCACTGTTGGTTTTTGTTTTTTTTTGAGCTGATTTGAGGTTATATGAACATGTAGACTTGGTGTTCCAGCCCAGACAATGAATTGTGCTTCTACAACACTGTAGATAAGCAGCACACTACACATGCTGATTTGTAAGATCTTACTCTTAAAGGCTTACCAGAATACGTATCCCCTAACTGTTGCTTGCAGTTTTGCTATGCCTGATGCATTCAAACCTTTCTCTTCTTTTCTTCCAGTTGCCTTCTGCAGGGTGCAAAGCCCTGGTTAAGAAGAATCATAAATTTAAGAGGAAAAGTCCCAGCCAAGCTATAGAAGTTTTAGTGTGTAGTCTGGGAACAGTCTTGCCCTTATGAATGAAAGCTCTCTGTTTTACTCACTCCTCTTAGCACTTGCAGCCACTGTCATGAAACTGTTTAATGATTGGTAGTCTATTTCAGTCAGAATATTCATCATTCTAGTACTCCTTTTGCAGTTTTGAAGTCCTAACTTACATGGAGAGGAAATGTTTTTCTTTCTTTTCTAGCATACTTATGAGTAGAAACGTTTTATTTTTTTTAAGCTTAGACTCTACCTATAATAATCTCTAACACATTGGTTTCTGTTATTTTCTTTCACTCGAGGCTGTTGTTCTGCTGTTTATGTAATTTTGTTTTAGCTCCAGCAAGAATTTCTCAAGTAAAATGTTCATTTGGGAGTAAGGGACTGTAAGCAAAGCACTTATTTTAATTCCTGTCACTCTGCTCCTTTGTCTTTGTACCTTGCAATTGAAAGTCTGAACACTTTCTGCAGCAACCTTATGTTAGGAGAGACAACCTCATATTTATTATACTGCTATAAAAAGTGAGCAGTAGAAATGAAGTGAAAGGTGACAATTCTCTGGATGGGTAATAGAATAAAACCATGTGGCTTGGAGAAAATAGCTAACAGTGATCTGTGTACATCATTGCAGTGGAAACACAGTTAAGGATATCTGATGTTCATCAGAGCTTTAAAAGCATGCTAACTTCTTAATTGATGAGTAAGAATTGGCCGGAGTAAGTTGAGAAATCTGTGGCCATATCTGGCAGCCCAATGAAAAGTCTTTCCTGTCTTGAATATGCTCCTGGGTGGCCAAAATTCTCCTATAACAATTTGTGTGATATTCCTCCCATAGGAGCAAAACATTTACTTTTTCTCATTTGCACATTAAAATGTGATGTTAATTCAGTTGTTATATTTACAAATAAACTTTTCTGTTTTGGTGACTGAACAGAGTACAGGAATTGAAGCATATACATCTACCAGCTTCGTTCACTCATTACGTAGGCTACATTTGGATTTTTTTTATTTTGCATCTTTGCATCATGTAAGCTTCGTTCTAGACATCCATCCTTCTTTTAGAACATGATGTGACCCTTGATTAACTCATGAATGCACAGAGTATCTATTTAACTGTACAGTCCTAAGATCGTGATACCGCTCTTAGGTTTGGTTTAAGACAGTGGAACATGTTCCTACTGTAAGTAAGCTTGTTCTTGATTATTTTAAAGCGGTGACAAATTTTCCTTGTCATTCAGTACAAATAGAACTCCTTTAGAAAAGAAATGTTTCCACTCCGGCTCTCAGCAATCAACCGTTTCAGCTTTGACCATTTCATTTTTATCCTGAAAACAGCCATTACTTCTTTAACTGAAGTTCAGTTTAATGAATGTGTTCCTCTTACAGATAACTTGCCCTGGAGTGCTGTTGAAAGACAAAGAGGAGCTCTATCTCAGTGTCTCTATACTTGGGCAATACAAAAAAACTCGGTGCGTCCCTGCAGCATTTCCACTTTTCTTTCAAGAAAAACTAGTATTTGAAAAGGTAAGACAATGTCAAATGCTGATACAAGGCAAATAAAACATATCTCATACACACAAAAGCTCATTGCAGAACCCTGATGTGCAAGTAATCACACAGAGGTCAGTGTAATATTATAACTTCTGCCTTTTTTTTGGCACAACAGAGGTGTGCAACTGTATTATCTACACAGTGACTGAAGAAATACACATGCTGAAGATTATAATTTTTTATGTATTTATTCATTCTTCTAGCAACTGTCCTTTTTCAGTATCTATTTTACTAGCTTGGGAAGAACTAAATATTATTGATTTAAAAATCTAACACAAAAACTATAAGATGTGGGAGAGTCAGCTTAATCAGTAGAAAGATAGGATAGCAGCTCAAACCCTTTTGGTGACATAGTTTTCCTTTTGAGATCCTTTATTCATGGTTTGTCACCAGAATTCCCAAGTTAGTACCTTGGCATTTTAATTTATAGTTGTTTATCACATATTCTGAATCCCTGCTACCTTCATTATTAGTACCACAGGGGTAATGAAACACAAAATCATACAGATATGACCTGGTTCCTTGACTACCTGTGAATAATAGTACTTTGCCCTTTCTAGTTCTTTTCCTTTAAGCGTCCCCCTGCACTTTCAAAACCAGACTGAGTAAACATCAGTGGTACTCTTGTTATGTAGGTAATATAAAAACAGTGATAATTTTACCAACCACTGAAGAATGGAAAAAATACAAAAGAACACAGTATTTCATTAAAGGCAAACATCCCACAGTCTACTTAAGGGAAACGTACTGAGTACTGTTTTTGTTGTAATTTAGGGGAGTTCCAGGACACAAGAATTTACTTACTTAGAAAAGAGCTTAATAAGAAAGCTGAAGTAATAACTATTTTCAAATGGCTGTTGAATGGATCTAGATACTTGTGGTGAACAGTGCTTTGGTATTATCAAGTGTTTGAGGTGTGGAACGGCAAAGTGATTTATACCATTCTACACTTTGTGCAAAATTACAGGGAAGTCCATTATGTGCTTAATATCCATTGAAATGTTTTTGCAGGAATTCCTGCCCAATTCCTTGCTATCTCTTGCCATTGGATTAGTTTAAATCAAATCTGAACAGTACTCTGTACATGAATAAGTTAAGCTTAAAGTGTAACTACATTAAAAAACATATTCTTCTTCTATCAGAATTCTAATGCATTCAGTAATTTACCTTTCTCTCCTGAAATTTTCTCAAACAATACTTTCTTCTGTGTCTTTGGCTCTTCACAATAGCTCATAATTTAAATTAGGGCAGGTAACCCTGAAATAGCTAGAAAGCATCTGACAAGAACTGCTAGCTTTCAATGAATATGATCGTGTGTCAAATGATAATTCCAGCTTCCTTTCTTTTTTTCCAAGAGGGATAGAACTCTTGACAACCATCTGAAGCAAGGAAGAATATTGATTTTTAGTTTTTTTCCTTCTTCCTTCAGAGATATGTGATGACTTTGACTATGCCATTATTTTTTAAAAGTATTTATTTACTTTCCAGACATTTGCTAATATAGTTGATCCTGGAGACCTTGTGGAGTTGCTAGAAGGTAGGTTCTGCTTTTTATGCATATTGTGTTGTGTGCATTAATGTTATCTGCATATGGGCTTTAAAGATATTTTGGGGATTTCAATAATGTTACAATTATTTTTTTTATCAGAAGCCTGTCCTCTGAAAAGTTAGTGGATAACAAATGTGCATTTTATACTAAATAAATGAGGACCACAGCACTAGTGACTTTATAGTGTAGGTTTGTTATCAGTAGAGGCATAAGTTTCTTGCTGTCTTTTGGATAGTACCAACTTCTCCAAAATACTGTTAACTAAGAAAAAGCCTCTAAAATGTAAGCTGTATGCTATACAAGGGGAAAATGTCCTAATTAGCAGGACATCCAACTGCTTATCCAGACAGATAATGGTTTCCTCTGTCTGACTACTTATTTGATTAATTTCAAATGAAACTTCTTAATTTCACACAAAACGTCTGTATGTGGGGATGTATATATTTAAGAAAATGATATATGCCTACAGTAAGCAGTCTCACCACATCTGGAGCATAATGAGTTTTAGTGAGACAGCATCAGCCCTGCATGCAAACTGCAAGAGTATGCTCCCTAATACAGGGAGTTAGCTGAAAAAGTGGTTAAGCTTGCATAATCTTCTTTACAAGATATTTCCAAAGACAAACTTATAAGCAGGTAGAACTTAACAAATTCTTAGTGAAGGAGTTGCTTTTTGTATACTGCTAATGCCATTGTGTTCATCTGTAGTTGGTTTTTTTCCCAGGAATTAGGCAACTTGTTCTTTATTTGCTCTTATTGTTGGTGTCACTGAGTACAGTGCTATCAATCAGTGAGCAGTTTTTTCATTTTTCTTTAAGTAAGTAACCTCTCATTTTAGTTTTTTTTAACTTACAAACAAACTTTTCTTCCTTTCTAGTTGACACAGCAGTACTTGAACTAATACAGCTCGTTCCTCCAGGTATTGTATCAGTCTCTTCATAAATTATGCAGTTTAATAGGTGAATTTCCATGTGGACGTTGCCCATTACAGCACAGTCACTTTTTCCAAAACAAAAGCAAAAACAAAATAGGAAGCATTTCAACAAATAGTTCTTTGAATATAAAATGTTAATAGATCAAGAGGATCTCATTCTTGAAATAGCAAGTTTCAATATTCAGTTCTATGTTGGAAAGTGATAATACTAAAAAAAAAAAAAAGAAAATAAACTGAAATCATCCAGCACATTGCTTATTAACTGCATCACGATTCACTTGCAGTGTCTGTCTGAAATTCAGAGCGTATCATCTTGTTCTCAGAATGGTACTTCTTTTTTTTTCCCTTCTGTTTTAATGGTGACCATTGGGAAAACTCTTATCTTCACTATAAGTATTGCAGGTCGCTTGGGATAGGTGACAATAATAAATAGCAATTTGTCATACTTCTGTTATTGGTTTGTGTGATTATAAAAATCTATTTTAATGAAATTCAAGTGTTCCCATGAATAATGTAAGTCTTTATTGGAAATAAAGTCAAGTTTGAAAGAGAACTCGTTTGGAAACTAGTATTAAAAGCACTCTCTGTTACTTGCCTTTAGTAGTTTCAAAGAAACAATTGCTTCTCGCAGGTGATTCATTGGACTTATTTATTCAAGAAAATGTACTGTGTGTGGATTTTTTTTGGGGGGAGGGGGACTTAAAAGATTTTGACTTCAATAATTTCAGGACTCAGAGGTAGGTGTGATACATCCCAGTGGAAGCTGACAAAATAACTGTAATAGCAATACTTAATTTTTTTTTAATAAAAACATGCTTTCATGGGTTTCCCCTAAAGAAAATATTTTAAAAGAAAGTAGCAGACCACAATACTTGAAGAATCTTGAGGTGTTGATTTTGATGTTGCTTGCATTTCTTCCTGACAACAATTTGCTATTTAAGAAGCATCAACATTCTGTATTATGAGATAAGACAGTTTTTGATGACGTATTGGCTAAAAACTGCTGGTTTCTTCTGTGTCATGGAAAGTAGAGAAGCAGGAAGCTATTGAAGGGATTACCTTGAGGAAATTCCCGTGGCTTCTAATGAAGATTGCCTCAGCTGTTCTCTATATACTTTTTAAATAAGTGAACCATGCTTTTAGGCCAGTTTCTGAATATTTCTGCTGCTGATTTAATTGATGACATTATTCCCTACTGTGATATGAGTTATAGAGCCTTGCTGCTAATTCAAATTTCTAATTAAAGTGCATGTTTTCTTTTTAGTTGGAGAAATTCTTGCTACTTATGAAGAGAATACGAGAGATTTCCTGTTCCCTAACCCTAAGCTTACCTATCAGCACCACGGTATAGATCGTGAGATTTTAATGAAGAGGTCGTCTTATTTTACTGTGAGTCAATGTCTTTGGATTGTTTTTATGATACAGTGTGTTTCAGTGGACAAACTCCTTGAACTACTTCAAAATGAAAAGCGATTTCTTCTGATAGATTTTACCAGTTCAGGTGTTGAACGTACAAATCCACAGTTGCACCTTCAGTGAAGGGATTTGTGGTTTTTACAAAATGCTTCATAAAAGTGTTTAATGTGAAGAAGTTAATTTCCATGTGGTTTGCATATGATTCTGTGACATGTCTCTATTTCATTTTAATCCATGATGCAGATGGTATTTGAAGAGGGAGATTTTGTATCAAATTCACAATTCTCAACAAAAAAACCATGTAACCCTCCTCTCTAATCTCCCCTTTTAGTTTTTGTTTTCGTTTACTGTAAATGCTTAAGACTGTGACAGTCACTACAGATGCATACAATTCTATGGCATCTGTTCTGTGGGCCTCTCTGAGGTCCAAAGTCACCACCAAAAAAAGAAGCGACTGAAATTTAGCTTAGTGCTATATGATTGTTTTTCAGTTACGAAGCCTGTTCTTCAAGATCTGTTCAACCTTTTCATGCTCTCTTAATAACTGCCTTTTCTACAATTTTATGAAAACTATGATAAATGACAACTAATTGGCAGAACAAGTGCAATGGATTAATGTTAATTTTTTGGTGATATGGGCTCGAGTGCACGCTGAGTGGAAATGAATTCATCTCACTACCCTATCAAAGAGTTTAAGACTGTTGGATCTTCAATGTCAGTGGAATACCTCAGAAAGGATGTTGCTATTGGCATAGGGGATGTGTTTTGAAATTTAAGTTGTACTAGTGGAGTGACAGAACATTTGAATTAGGACTCAGTTGCCCTATCTGTTGTGATTGGATTAAAAAACACTTTGTTGGGGTGGGTGGAAGGCTGATTAAAGGTCACTGGTATCGTTTAGCTGGTATAATCTTTCCCCTGCAAGGGCAACCTGGAAATTGCCCTGTCACTTGCAATTAGAAGTGCTAATTTGGTGTCTAATGCTGTGCTACATTTCAATGAATTAAAGCTGTGATTTTGTGATACAAAATGTATTGTTCTGCAGCAGCTTAAATTGTCCCTACAGAAAGAAAAAGGCATTTTTTGTCATGGCATCTCTTTGATATATCAAACTTATCCTATGAATGTTTTTGGTGGCGGGAGGGAGGGAGGAGGAGGAGGGAAGGAGGAGGAGTCTCCATTTATATAGCTTTTAAGTTGCTGTAGTTTTGTATCCAGCCTTCAATTACACTACATTCCTACATCTTGCTGTTTGTTCCTTTCCCATCACTTCATCATTTTCTGAGTGCAACCACACTATGCACTAGTTCAGGGAACTAAGTCTTTAAAAATATGTTTGTCAGCAAAACCATGCTGAAAACAAAGAAGACCTTAAATGCAGAGTTCTCAATGCAGCCACATATACAGTTGTGCTGGTGTTATAAGTCAGTGAGAGAAACTTCAGTGATTAGAAATGCATAGAGAAGTTTGTGCATTGTTTTTGTTTGCTGGATTCAGTTATTTAATAGAAAAAATTATGTATTCTCTAGTAAAACAAGGTGTCATACTTTGTGAGCTGTGAGCAGATGTGCTCAGCATCATTTGAATGTGTAACTGAATGATGACACTGGTAGCTTTTAAATGTTGACTGATGATAGACAGAAATGTCCTTCCTTGTCCTCAGCAGCAGTGTAAATAAAATACATCTCTGCCCTGAAATGAGGACTGCAGAAGCATCAGTTATACTCTATTGCATCTCCATCACAGAAAATCAGAACAGCTCAAAGAGAGGATTTTGGCATACTGACCCCATTTTCAGAAGTAATAATGAAGCTGTGTTTGATGCAATTGGAGGAAGTCTCTCAAATAGCTACTTGTGGCTCCTCTTTTGGTTGCCAAATGGGATTGCAATGAGAGGATTTGTATCTCCAGAAGTTGTGAAGTCTCAAATGCCTCCATCTTCTAGTGTTCCCTAAGCAGTACTGGCAAGTGTCTCCTGTCAGCACCAAGCACTGAGTGTAAACACTAAACAAAAGGCCAAGTGTTAAACAAGGTCCTGCGGACAAAAATCACTCACGTTATTCATGTGCTATTCAAGCTGAGTTATTCCTGCATAGAAAGTTATTTATGGTTAGCTGAGATTTTGAGTAATTTAGACTGACAGCTGTGCTTCTCTGGCACTTTGATTCCCAGTAACTGTCTTTTATTAAAAAAGTAAAGGTAGCAACAGCGAGGTTACAGTTGTGGAGTTCAGATAGGCAGTGACAAGCAGTGTCTGATGAACACTGCTAATCTGCCAGTTGGAAGGAATCCCAAGTTGAGAGGATCAGGACTCCTCCAGAAATCTGGCACTTGGCTGATAATGTCTCTGGCTAAACGTCTTCTGAAGCTTACAAACACAATATGCATACCAGATATGCCTCAAGTTATCTCTCCTGGTCCAGTGCTGCCCAGCTGAGGCTTTTGCTGGCTCTTCTGTGTTTCTCTGCAGCCCTTGCTTTTCAGAATATGTTTAAACCTCAACTGGTGGTGACTTCTGACAGACATTCTTATCTCCATTCTCCACCTTCATACAGTATTTGCTACGTTACTTAAAACATGTTCTTTTCAGTTTCATTGCCTTTCATTAGCATACCAACAGAAGGTGTTCTGTTATGTACATATACTGTCTAAGCTCTGTTATGTTCTTATGCTCTCTAAGAACATAACATGTATTAGACTTAGTTTCCATTGAATATGATCTACCTTAACAGTTTTCCTATGAGGAAGTTAATATTATATCGATGTCATATCTGTTCAGTGACTGGTACAAGAGCACTAACAAGTTTTCCACTGGCACCATTAACACAGTGGAAGGGAAATAGAGCCACAAAACTTTCTAACTGGATTTTCATTTGTAGAAAGTGTTTAGAGCTATCGAATGGTCTTTAATATATTGAATATATAGCATTATATATAAATATAAAAGGGAAATCTCATTTTTTCTGTTGATCTATAAGTTACTTAGGACCCGCTCCTGTATATGCAAGTGCTATCCTGTATGTGCTCTCCATGAACCATTTATCTGAAGAACTGTGGTCTTGTATGATTTTTATCTGTAAGCACGTAACAATTCTGTTCTCATTCTCTGTAAGAGCAGGAGGTGCTCTGCTTTTTATAGACTTGCTGATTCTGATGTGTCCTTTTTTAAATTGTTGATAGCACTTGACAATTCATTAGTAGTAAAACCGAGTTGATTAAAGATGGTCAGCTCTAAAATCTTTTTATATGCCATAACTTGACTTGATTGAATGCCAGACTCTTACTAATTGCTTAACTGAGCTTTCTTGGCATTTTTGTCATTTCATTTTCATAATCTAACCTGGGGCTGGATCGTACACCCTTGTGGGAAATGAATGCATGTTTAGGCAGGTGGTAGGGAATCCTTTGGTTCAGCAGTAACCTTCACTCATGAAGTTCCTGCTAATTCTCAGCTGTGGGGCAGGATCACAAAATGATGAGCTCCTTTTTGGTTCACAGTAATTTTGCGTTCAGTTGTACAAACGTCTTTGCATGCAGATGCCTGGGGCTGTACAGCAAGCTCTCTGTGTTGAAAGAAGAGAGAGTAGGAAGTTTTAGGGACACTTGAATCCCTATATGCTTCTACAGAGCTGTGGTAGGTGCTCTTAGATTATTCACACTTGTCTGTGGTTTCTCAGAGATGCAGGGGCCTGCCAATCCATTAGTACACGTGTGCTGGTTGACCAGGAGGTCCAGCTGAATTCCACTGCCTCCAGATCAGTCAAACTAGGCCTGCCTCTTGCCAGCCACCTGCTTAAGAGATCACGAAAGAGATCATGAAAAGAAGCAGATTATAGGAGACAATCCACAGGAATCAGATGTTGCTCTGGGAGTTACAGAACAAAGGGGACTCCTAATGACACTGTTACAAGTGAATAGTTATTTGCAGTGTAATTGATGGATTTTTCAAAATATTCTTACAAAAAAGGTGACACAGTTGAGACTATAAATAAATTTCTGAAGTTAGCATTATTGAAACTTTCAGATCATGACTGGAATTTTTATTGGTGCTGTACAGCATGGTGTGAAAAATCTTTAAAATTGCTTTTGACTAAGAAATGTATTGAAATGAAAGTCAGACCTTAATTGTTGTACGAAAGCAATATAATCATCTGTAATTGAATTGTCAGAAATGCAAATGTTAGCATCTTGACATTTACCATTGCTGTTCTGTCTTTTCTAATTATCTTTATTAAAGGCTGAAATTAACAAAGGAAATGGCTGGAAATTAGGGATGGTTTGTTACATTAGGTGACATTTACTTCTTTGATACCCTTTATCTTGAGTTGGGGCTTGATGTTCAATTATGGTCTCTCTTCTAGGGAATTGCACCAAAATTGAGGTTTTCTACGAGCTCCCTTATTACTGAAAGTCTGTTGAGCTCAGGAAGGAGTCACATACAGGTTAGCATAATTTAATTGTTTGCAATTTAATTTCTAGATTTAATATTGATAGCCTTCGTTTCCATTTTTTGCATATACTGCTCACTTCAAACTTTTTTCATTCTTTTGTTGTGGTTAAAGCAGTTGTCATGGGTGCTTGACAGCTTGATTAAATTTTTAAGCGAGTATGAGTAAAGAGTGGGTCTGGTGCATGACAGTAAATGCTGAGAGTTCCTTGAATCTGAAACAATTATCACCTTCTATTTTCTGTGATCAGCTGAAGTGTTAATCCCTGGTGTATTGTAGGTGGGAAGATGCCTTCTCACTGTTTCTTACTGACACTTAGAATTAAGGTGGGACAATGAAACTTAGTGAAGTCAGAGAAGGTACGTTATCAAAAACAAACCAATTAATATATGATGTCAGTAGCACTCAAATCAAAGATTTCTATTGCAAAACCAATTCCTTCTATTAATCTAGAAATGCTGTCTCTTCGGTGAGTAAAGTTAAAGAAGTAGTAGCTGAAGAGACTGGGGAGAAATACCCTCTCTGATGTGTTAGATCAATTTGTATCACTCTTCTCTGATCTCACTGGTTTGTGTCATAGTTTCCTGGGACAGACTGTCACACAAAGTTACTCTTACATGCTCCTCCTTTTCTCGTTTATTGCAAATGGTGCAGCATCGCTCAAATGGAATTGTTAAGGAGGTATGTGTGCAAAAACGATGAGGTGACTTTGATCCATTCGTGGTACTGTTCGTTAGTTCACTGAGAAAATTCAATTTTAGCAAAATATATTACTGAGGCACTTAAAGAATTTCTTTAAAAAAAAAAAAAAAAGAAAAAAGAAAACTAGTGAAAATTAGTGTTGATAGAAAACTGAACTCATTGAAGGGGACTTCAGTAAGAGCAGCTTGATTTGGAACTAAAGAATGACCTTGAAAGTATTTAACATGTTACGAAATCTCCATTAAATTTTCATGGACTACAGTGATGATTTAATTTCACAACTAGTTTAAGCCAGGAAAACGCATAGTCATCTTCTGTTGAAGAGAGTTAGGTTCTTTTTTGTTTGGGACAGTTTCACACTGTGGCTCACTACCAGCTGCACAAGTGCTAGTACAGGCAACAGAAAGCAATGTGAACTGTGTTTGTGATGCCAGATTCGTGCTATGCTGGCACAAAACACTCAACCTCATCTTTGTTTCATATGTGGAAGGGAAGACACAAAGGTAAGCTGGACACTTTATTCCTAGGTTCTTCTGAACTAAAATAATGCATGCAGCATTCATATTTAAGAACAGTGGCAACTTCCTCAAGCTTAAAAAGTAATTTCTAACTGGAAAAAAAAAATCTTGCCATGCTTTTATTTTTGAGCTTCTGTAACATGGGAATTTAGGTAAAATTTGACTGTAAGGCCTAATTATTCATACTGTGGTATTCTAAGTTAAAACATGCCACTGATTTAGTAGTCTGGTAAGAATTGTATAATCTAGAATTCCTTGACCTATAGTGCTTCCAGAGTAATTAAATGTGCATTTAATGCCAAGAATTGCAAAGGAATGATAATGTATTTCAAATAAAACTTCAGTGTTGGAATGAGTTTTGCAGACTTTTAAATTGGTCACTGAAAATTTGATAATTATTTGGAAGAGGAGCTAATCTGAATTGTTAAGTAGGCTCTGCCAGTGAAAAACAAGCAAGTAAACAAAATGCTCATGTACTGTAGTGTGCACAGAGAGCTGGTGAGGGTGATTGTTTCCCAACTTTCCTCCATTCTGTTAAATGTGAGTGTTTTAAAAGCAGTATCTACTTGGAGATAAACTTCTAAAGCAGTATTTGAAAATGGTGTGATTTCTGTGAACTTTGGCTGAAAAAAAAACATACTTTGTATGTAAACTGGCAGCAATACAAACAGCTATTTTTCTACTTTTGCAAAAGTATTCACCTGATTGAAGATGATCTTGGAAAGATGGTCTGTTTTTTTTGTTGTTGTTTGTTACCTATACAAAACGTTCTTGATTAACACACTCTATGCAAGTAGTGTTCCAAGAAAATATAAATTTCAGAGTACAGTTACACTTCTTGTGAATTTTAGGCAACTTTAAATGATATGAATGGAGAAGACTTTTAAGATATGTATTTTAGAAGTTTTAAACAGATGAAAAAAGCTGCACAATTTTTTATGTCTAATGCAGATAAAGCTTGTGTTAAATGAACTTGATACAAAACTCAATTTGTTTTTTTTACAGTCTCTGTATGCTAAAGAAATGAACAAACTAATTGAGTGAAGTATTAGGCACTTAACTTCCAACATGTGGTAATGTGTGTTTTAACCTCCTTTTGGATTCTGACAAAATGGTAAATACATTGTTGCTTTTTAAATTGCTGTCTGATTATAGTCTTCTGAGAGGAATTTCAGCTGACATACAGCATCAATTTCTGTTAAAATTATTAGTTCCCTGTTTCTGTTACTGTCAGTGGTCTTTGTTCTGCATGCTGTCAAAGCAGATAATTTCTCTTTTTCACTTTAGGATGATTTGAATTGGGTGCATCACTCAACTCCAAATGGAAAACTGCAAACAAAGTTACCAAAGAAAAACATGCTTTCACCTGAGAAAAACAGTCACAGTGTAGCAAGAAAGAGCTATGAGCAGCCTACCATAGCTTCCAAGTCACGTTCTCCATCTCCATACACAAAAAGACGGATGTGTGAGCTGTCAGAAGAAGCCAGGCAACGACTGGCCCACTTAAACCTGGGTCCTTACGAATTCAGAAGAGAAACTGATAAACCTCCATTTGTAGTTAGACGGGTTTGTATTCTCTACAAAGTACTTCTAGCTTAAGCTGAGATCAAACATTGTTCTTTCACTGAATACTGCTCCAAAAATTCATTCATCTGTTAGTTTAGATGAATAATTTTTTTCTCCTTTCCAGCCTGTCATGTAGTTATTTAAATATAAAAGAATTTTATTTTAGTTAATTTTATCTGTTAGTAATAGACAAAGATCAAATTCTTTCATGAATATCTTGGTTAAATTCTCTGAGGCCCCATTTCTTTTTTTCCAGCGTGCTAGACAGTATAATAGCTTTATAAATTCAACTTGGAAGTAATTGATATTAGTATTAAAAAATCCCGAATAAGACTTTAAAGAAGAAGTGTCTAGTCACATTAAGAACACGTACACTGCCTCTTTCAACTTTGTTAGCATTCTATGATCTTTGAAACACTTGATTTACTCAAAGCTACATCTATGATACTTTGACTTACAGCTGATAACCAGCCTGCATTTAGCACTTTCATGAGAACTGTATGTGGAAAAACTGTTCTGAAATTAAGTAGTTACTTGAAGAAACTTCATTTAAGTGCTTTGTTGCAGGTCCAGACTGCCCAGCCTCTTGGATGAAGGTGTTCTCCAGCAAATTGCTTTGTTACAATTTGGCCATCCACTTTTTTAAGGATATTGCTGAAAAGGTGTAGGGGCCAAGATGGAATTGTTCTGACTCTGTGCTGTGACGTGATTTGTCTATAATTTTGAACATTTGTTACAGCCGTTGAGATAATTTAGCATTTAATTAGTTTACCTCTCACATTATTTCATTTTTCTTGTACAAGTAGTAATAGCTTATCAAATTCTAAAATTCTTTCACAAGTTTTCTTCTACTTGTAGGTACTTTTTTAGAAATTCAAATTAGTCTTATTAATCCATTAATTATTCATCATCCTTCTATTTATCTGTCTCTGTTATTTTTCTTTTATCTTCCGCTAATCAATTTTTTTCTGGTTTTTGATCTATAGGTGCAGTTCACAATTTAATTACAACATCTGTAAATACTGATTATTGATTTCAGTTGCTCTGTTATATTTGTACAGGAAGGAAAATTCTTGTCTCTTAGTGCATCCCTTCCTGACATCATGGCTTTTCTAGAATGAGAATGCTCCTTTTAGAGCATCTTTATTGCTGAGATCTCTTGGTTTGGCAGTACTACATTGCATGACAATTAAAATTAAATTATGTTAAAATATAACTTATTAAACTAGGAACAGCAGCACTTTGTAAGGTCTGAACAATTTGGAATAAATGTGTGGTATCAAGTAGTCTTTAAAAAGATATCTTCATAAAAACGTTATAAATGAAGGAGAAATATCTGCATTTTTATTCCTTTGAACAACATGACATTCTGAGCTTTCTAGACCTTTCTAGAACTGTTTTTGTTTATATGCAATAATGGTAATAATATAAACATTAAGAACATGTTTTTAAATTGTATTTGAATAAGTGTTTTCAGAAAGGACTGGATGTGGTCTTATGAAACAAACAAAAAAAAAACCAATCAAAAATATGTGTAGAGATAGAAACATCTGATACTGCACCTCTTAACAGTAGTTTTGCTTCAGGTAGAACAACCAAGTCCTGGAACTGAGCTTTATGCCTGCTGTACCCTGCGAGAAGGCTCAATGGAAGCTTGGTCCAAGGTAACCCCTGGTCAGTATTTAATACTGTTATCTCTCATTAATGCTTTTTTTCTCCAATAGCTTAGTCAGGTGGGTTTTTTGTTTTGGTTTGAAGCAATCTCTAATGGAGAAAAACCTGGTCCTCTTTGATAGGAAGAATAAGAGCACTGAAATAACCCTATTGTTGCAAAAGGTGGGTTTGCATATTTCTTTACCTCGGGAATTGGAACATAGTTCAATGTGATAGGAAAGTAAGAGCAGAAAATACCAGAGTGTCCAGGCACTCTGTTCCATCCACCTGTTTTGATTAGTTGCATAGAGTAACAAATCAGCACCTCAGTCAGTGGGTGTGTTAGTCAGGCCTGGAATATTGATCACTTTGAAATTCGAGAGCTCTGTTGCTCCAAAAATGAATAATGTTTATATCAGCTTTTTTTTTTTTTTTTAAGTGGATCTGTGGCTTACAATTGTTAATGGGCATCCAGGATGCATGCGCATGTCTCCTTCCACTTTCACTGGCAACAGTAACTGAGTGTTTTATAAAGGGTGCAGGACAAGAAATTTAAATCTTACATTTTTTCTTTGTAATAATACTGGGTGCAGGATATTAAAGGTTACTCATTCTTGGGATCGTGCATATCAATCTGTTGTATCAAGGTAATGTAATAGACCTACTATCATCTGATATCATTATGTACTTACAAATGAGTTGATGGTATCTAGCCAATGGTTAGGAGAGTGAAACCTGCTTCACAACTAACATCCAAATGGTTTACTAGTCACGTTTCTGTGTATTGAAGTTTAACTCTAATTTTTATAAAGCATAAATTCCTGTGATTACAATACAATTTAGTCTGGTTTTGCTTTTGTGCAGGTAGATGATAATAGGTTGTCGTTAGGGCTGCTCAGTACAGACTGATACAACTGATGAAAAAGGCAGACATAATTAATGTCATTCTCTTTGGCGTGAGGTGCATATTGACAGTGGTCAGACACCCTGAGCTGGTGTGGATTTAATAGTTCCTCTGCTTTTGTGGTCTTCATAACTTGTGTTTGTGAGCTAGTGGTGAGGGAAGGAACGAGGAGGTGATCAGAGGAGGAGGAGGTAGCTATAGGGAAGCTTGTTCCAAAAAGCATGGGAAGGTAGAGTAATGTAAATGAGATTTTTTTCAGACTGATAGAGCTTTACTTTTTATTGATCTAGACAAATAATAGCTTAGCAAAATATGCTACTTCTGTCTACATAGAAGATTGTGCTTGCACTGACTTAATGTATTAACTGTATTGTGCTGTATTGAGTAAAATGTGAAGTCATTGTTTTCATCTGAAGATAGTGAAATATTACTGAGAAGACTGTTTAGAGTTTCACAGTCTGTAATAATAACTTGGTCTATTAATGTTTGGGAGGAGAGGTATGCTATTTTGTAAAAGATTTTTTTAAAAAAACTCGGGCATTCAAATTTTCTTTTGAATTTCTTCAAGTACACAATTTTTTTCTTTCTCTAGATCTTTCTCTTCTTGGCAGCTACAGACCCAAGAAAACCAAAGTGAGTACTCTGTAGTGCTGTTGTTTACAAACTGGTTTTGGGGGGAAGCCCTGAGTGAGGAGGTTTGTTCTGTGTAGGTATGTTTGTAACTATCTACTGCACTACCAAAAACAAGACGAAGGATATTTAAAATCTGATATAACTCTATTTATCCCTGCTGATGGGTTATTTTTAAATACAAATGCAAAACAATGTTCTGTGATATGTTCATGCCTGTAGGTAAAGGACTTCTCCTTGGCGTTAAGGCTTGTGGTAAGACTGTAGAAGAGCCTTGAGAAGTGACTTATAGTAATCTTCCTGGTCGTTCTGAGATCAAACTTTTTTCCAGAATATTATGCAAAGGTAGCTCAAGTACAAATGGCAAGCCACTATTTTGTCATTTCACATTAAATTGTTAAGATTTTAGGTGCTTTATAAATGGAGGATCTAGAGATTATGTCAGGGTTCTATCTTGTTCTATTGTAAACCAGGGTAACTCATGGAGACATTTGAATGGTGTACTTCAGATTAAGAGGTGCTATAAAAGGAGTAATTGGAAGAGTTAAGATTGACGAAGAGATGAGCAGATAGACCAGAGTTTTTCCTGGAGGAAGTAAAAGTCATGGGGGAAAAAAATAAGTCTAAACAGGGGTCCTAGGAGGAGAGGTCTGAGGTTCATTGGTGTAGACTCTTGGGCGTCACTCGGAATCTCTGATGACCCTGTGAAATGGGGGACTTTACACTGTGCAGTCAGAATAAGATGATAGCAAGCCTGAAAACCAGGCTTTGTTATAATACAGCGTGTTAGATACCAGCAGGGAACACTTCCTAGTTCAAATCCCCCCTTTTGTAAAATGGGGATCTCTGCTCTTCTCCAGCAAGTGGATATTCCTGCGTGTATGGAAAGCCTGTAACCCTTCAGTTTAAAAAAGAAAACTGTACCTCTTGATATTCATGATGCAGTTTAGCAAGGTTTGGTGTTTTTTTCTTCTTGTTTTTAACAGGCAAGATCTACTCATGGGAAAGGCCGTGACAGTTCTTCTTATGTTTGTAGTGAGGATGTGATCTCCAGTTCACCCAACAGGCTGGTCCATTCTGGTGGTTCATTAGTGCATTCAGCACCTTCAGCATTTCAGAAGCATTCTCTGAGTTCTGTACTAAATCGATCTTCTCTAAGGGAAAGGTAATAACTTGTTTTTGTTTGTGAAATTCTGGAATCATTAAAAAGAGCAGATCATAACAGTACTTGCATGACCATAGTGTTATGTGTTTGGAGGTATACAGGATGAAAAGACTTTTTATCAGGAGCTGTGTTTGCCATCACCTCTCTGCCATCACCTCTCTGCTTAATGATTATAATACAAATATTATGGCAATGAAAAGGATCTTTGACCTCACTCTTGCTGACCTCCCCTCAAACAATAAAGCTTCTGATTACATGTCCCCAGTATCCACCAAATCTTAAATAGGGAAAACTTAAGTAGGTAAATAAGTAACGTTTCAGAGGGTGTTAGGCTATCAGGAATACAAATATAGATATATGTCAAGTAGGATGTTTTAGAGCTATGTGGAAACCTTTTTTCCTTCTGTCCTTTTCACCTTAGTGTTTGTAAGTATGTACTTCTGGTTGTGCTGTAGTCAAATATGTGACTAGTTTGAGTAATGTCCATGGGCAACTTTATTATAATTAGTATCGTTACAGACTGAGATGATTCTTCTGCTTTGTTTTAAGCTGAAGTATTGGCCTCTGTAGCAATTCTGTGTGTGTTCATTTCTGTATATATTCTTTTTTCTTTTTTTTTTTTAGTCCTCTTATATTAATATCCCCTAATTTGGTGGATTTCAACCCTTAGGTGAGCATGTAGGGCAAGCATAGAAGTTCCAGTATCTTGTGAGGGTGAAACAGAAGAAATTTCAACAAGCAGTTTTCTCATGTTTAAGCACTCCAATCCCACAAGGAGAGTATTCCCTACTTCCTGTTAAGTAGAATGTGTCCTGGGTACATGATGTTCCTGCTATACATCTGGCTTAATAGGTTACTAGGTGACTTTCTGGGGGTAGGAAGGTTGTATGCAAATCTGGGCCTGAATAACCAAGTACCTAAAACAATTTGAAGATGCTTAGGATCAAACTGATGTCCTGTCCCTTGATTCTGAAGTATTTATCTAAAGCCATACTCGTGTATGTATTTTGACAGCATGTTCGCGCTCATTTCTGATTCTTTTCTCCTTATTACAATTGGTACTTCATTTAGTGAGTGCTCAAAGGGTGTATTTTGTAGCCTACACACACTCTAATACTCCTATTTCCAAAAAAGGAGAACTATCTCAGTTTTCTCTTTTTAAAAGAAAAATGACAGATGGCAGGTAGGGATTGAATTTTTTAGTACTCAGATCAAGTTGATGGTTTAACATCTTTCTCTGCTTGAAAACTTGCTTGGTTGTTCTTCTGTGTAGTAGTATTTCCTGTGAGTTATGTGAGAATCAGCATGTGTTTGGGTTTGGAGAAAGTGTGTTGTTTGGTTTTTTATCATCTTGTCTACCTCCCCACATTCTCTCATGTGGTCTCCTCTTCTGACATTGTGCACTAGTTAGCCATGTCTGGGTAAGGTTGTAATGGTGATTGTTTATTTGCTTATTTAATAACTCTATATTTAAAGATGACAAAGTCTTTTGTATTGATAGCAGGGAAATCTTGTGTGTTTGAGCCAGTTACTCAGCAAGTTAGTCATTCTCCAAGTCATCTTAAAAGTATCTGAATGTTCTTGCCTTTTCTCATTACCAGCCCCTCTCTCCAGAACAGATAAGCGATTTTTGAAGTTATCTTTTCTTTTTAGAACAAATATTCTTAGCTCTTCTGAAATGTAGCATTTTTTTTATGTTAAAGACCTGGGAATTTACTTCTGACATTAAAAACAAAAATAAAAATAAAAAAGAAGGAAGTAAGAGGTATATTCAGGAAAGTTTGATCTTTGTGTTTATGCTGCTGAGATAACAATGGATTTAGCTGACTGTATGCAGAGATTTGTTGGAATGACAAGCGTGGATCAGAGGTCAATGTTTGGAAATGCATGCAAATGCTGCTCTATAGATTATAGAAATACAGAGGAAATCAGAACTATTGGACGTATGGCAGTTTTAGAGTATTTGCAAGATGATGTCTTATCTGACAGTGATTTGATGTTTTTTTCCTCAATCTTATTTTGAATTACAAAGACAAATAGCTTCACATATACATACTACTTATTCATCTGATCAATCCATGGTCAATACAAAACTTGACGACTTACCTCAGCCTTTCTTTATTTCTTCCTTTTTTTGTTTTGAAGTGAATATGAAGTGAGTGTCTGCCATTTTGGGTGCACTTCCCCCAGAAACCTGCCGAATAGTTGTTAAGCCACTGCAATACCTTTTAGTGATACAGAAGTTTGGGGTCTTGCCTAATGCCCTCTTGGGAATTTTGCATCCTTTGTAGCGGTTTCCATTTCTTTCATGTGAGCCTTTTTGAGAGACCTTAAATCAATGCTCTCCCCCTTTCCACTGAAGTTGAGCCAGAAGCAGAACGGCGAACAGTTTTACTGTTGGACAAGCCTCCAAAGTTTTGAATATTTATTTTTCATATTTTATTTTTACATTTTTCATTTTTTAGGTCGCTGCAGGAAAGCATTTGCTGTGTTGCAAACTGAATCAAAATAAAGTGGTGAGGCTGTGCATCTTCGTGCCCTATATTTTGATTTTATTTCTTATGCAGAGCAATGATGCATGCGTGTTCTTTCCTGCTCATGATGTCTGGCCAGCTTCAATCAATGTGGTTAAAATGTTATTTGCCCCCACAGGCTGGTTGTTTGTGCATAGATGCTTTGTGAAAGCATTAGAACTCCTGCAAAAGAGGAAAATTTGACTTCAGTCCTTGCTTTCATAGTGCCTGTATATCGTCATGCATGCCTAGAGGGTGGTGGTTTTCTCGGGGACTTGCAAGCTTAGCCTTCCTTGCAGCACTGAAATCTGCAGCAAAATACAAAGCTAAAGTCATCCTTCTGTAAAGAAAAGTAAGCTAGTGATAGAAGTCCTATGAATGGAGCTATATGATGGCACAAAAGAAATTCTTTTCTCAAGAGACTACAGCAGTCGTAGTCATTTGATCATTTCTCCCACATTGAGAAACAAAGCTATTTCTGATGCATTTGAGATCAAGGGATTTTTTTTATTGATCTGCAAAGTAATCACTTCCAGAACAAAGGCCATTCCAATGTCTTTTTGAGGTTCTGCTCTGCTGAAATGTGGTATTACCTACTGTAAAATCTAACAGAAATCTAAGTTCTGTTTGAAGCAAGACAGAGGTTAACTGCTTGGATCAGATAGATTCTGTAATATTCCTATACTGGTTTTCTACCATCTTTTTCTATTGTCTTTTTCCTAGTACTAGGGAAACATCAGCATGAAATGCCATACTGGATCCTACTAAATCCTAACTGCAGGTAGTTTACCTTATATTTTAGAAAGCAGAATGCATCCTAGCCTAAGATTTACTTCTGTGAGAACAAATATTTAAGTTCTGAGAGCTTTCTGCTACTAATTGGAACTCTAAATAATTTAGCAGACTTTTCAGAAGGTGGCTTGCTCTGGGAAGAGACTGTGACTCGGTCTCCAGCTTGATTTTAGCCAAATATTTTGGAATTCAGTTTCACAGTGAAGTGGTTCTCAAAGCTTTTGGGTTTATCGTTCTCACCTTTTGAGGAAGCTTTCATTATTTTGCATTCTCTAAGTTGAATTCCGGGAGCAGCACTCATGGATCAGTTATTCTATACCATACATTGCAAAGACTGTGTAGTACAGATGCCTTGTTTCAGATTTTTAACCAACTTCTATACTATTTATCAACTTCACTGCTCAGTAGGTAAATTCGAAAGTGAGTGATGTCAAAACTTTTGCCTATGAATAAACATATTCAAGAAGTGGGAAAGCTGCCGAAGTGTACAAGAAAACGCAGCTCATTTCTAATATCTTTAAACATCTAGGGCAAGAATGCCTAGAACTTTTGATGGTATTATTGGGCCTGTGGTTGAGATCTTGAGCTGCAGTATTGAATTTGGAAGCTGTCTGCCTTTTGGAACTCATGTCATCATAGAATCATAGAATTACTCAGGTTGGAAGGGACCTCAAGGATCATCAAGTCCAACCGCAGCCTAACCATAGTACCCTAACTCTAACAACCCTCTGCTAAATCACATCTCCAAGCGCCACATCCAAACAGCTCTTAAACACATCCAGGGACGGTGACTAAACCACCTCCCTGGGGAGCCTATTCCAACGTTTAACCAATACATGAGGATGATTTATCTTGCCCCAGTTTTAAAGGCTAGAGGGGAAAAGAAAGCATCTGTGAATTTTACATCTCTGCACTGAAGTTGTAACAGTAAACGGTGCTTTTGGAAACGAAAGAAACTCTTTAGAAGGGGTTGCTTTTTTTTCTTTTTTTCTGTTGGTGGTGTTTGTTTGTTTTTCTTTAATTTCTTTCTGTAGAAGAAGAGCAACTGTCAGCTTCTGCTTCCAAATGCTGAAGCTGTTCTTTGATTTAAGGCATTGGCAGTGTGCAGTTGTTTCTGCTTCATAGTAGGTATCCTACATTGTGAAAGCAGCATACTTCTTTCACTTCAAATATTGTGAGAATGTAAGCATTTTCATATTGTTACTCTTTTATGAATTGTAATGAAAATGTATGTACCAATATAGTCTCTGAAACACTTTTGCACTTGTACAGCTGCATCTGTACTAAGGTTTATAGCCATCAGGTATTTTAAGAAAAGGCAAAACAAAATTGTATCCTTTATGAAGTAGTCCAGTAGAACTGTTAAGTGCAGCTCAGCCATTCTGTTGTGCCTCCGTTGCAGACCAGTATATATCAAGATGCAAGTTCATCTTGCTACATTACTACTTCATGTCCTTTTGAGCGAGTATAAAGTAACTTCTCCACTTTCTGTGCACGCTCATAAACATCCTGATTGTAAGATGTGTGACTCTTCATCTGTTTCAGAGTTAAATATATTTGGGTTTTCTGAGAATCTCTTTTGCTCCACGCACAAATTCTTGTAAGATTGTTATTTTCAAGGTTATATTTAGCTTAAGAGTTATTTCTTTTCTCCCTTCCCCCCAATTACAGTAACATCCTCTCCAATTGTGAATCTGGTACCACAGTACTTCATTGATTTCTGTCCTCTGATAGTTTGTCCTTGTATGTGGTTTTGCTCAGCATGAAGTCTGTGTCTTTGAAGCTGATGAATTCTTCATGGAGGCCAGATGCACAGAGTTGTTCACAAGGCTGGGAGGTGTGATGGTGAGGGAAGGGGGTCACGATAGGCAATGCAAATATTCTGCAGCAGGCTTTTGCATTAATTCTACCGATCTGAAATGTATTAGTATCTCCTGCTGAAATGTGGTATTAACATTTTTGCTTTGTGCAAATGAATGATTGGATTGTCTGACATTTGAAAATTCCTATTTATTACTGCTCTCAAGTTTGCAAGCTGCTGTTTTACTAGAGTATGTGGATGGATGTATTCTGTTTGTATTTCTAATGGAGTATTTCGTCCTAATGGATAAAATTCTATGCAAAAAACAGCTTTAATCTTTAACACAAGATCTAAGCTGTGCTTGGCTTCTTTTTTCTTCTATCAAGGTAGATGTCTGCATGACCTTAAAAAAAAAAAAAAAAAAAAGGAAAAAAAAAAAAAGACTTATCTCATAAAGAGTATAAATGCCTTTAGTCACATTACAAGGGAAAATGGTTCTGTTTCCTTGATCGTACTCAACACAACATCTTTGAAATTAATCTTGAGAAGTTCTCTGATTGATCTGGCTTTTTCTAGGTCACTGAGCTATATTTCCAAAGTGTTTATACAATCTATTGGAATCAATAAACAATTTAAACTGATGTAACTGCAGAATGTTTGCAAGTCCCAGGGAAAATTGAAAGTATGACAAAGAATACAGCTATAGAAGTTTATTTTGTTTATCAGGACAAACAGTCATCGAAGTGAAATGACTTTCCTTTCAGTGTTGCAGTACAATACTGACACCTTAATCACATAAATAAGTAACCAGTCTTTTTAGAAACACGCTATTAGTCATGTTAGGCAAATGGAATCTTGTTGTTTATGGCTTAAGAAGCTGTGCTCTAATGCCTGTTTTTAAAACGTTTCCGGAAGGAGAGTTACCATATCATAAAAAGGTTTCACTTCAGATTATGGGTATGTAATGGGATTACATTTCAAGGCAGGAATTTATTTTAGTTTGCATTTTGGTGGATGTAAATATTAACGTTATGATTTTAAATGTAGTTTAGACTCAACAGTTATTACTAAAATTAGACAATGATAATACTAGCAAAACTAATTAAAATAAGCTGATACTGCTTTTAATCATACTTAAGGTTTTGATTCTATTTTTCCCTTGATAAATTAAGTTTGGGATGTACGTGAGTGGCCAACATTTCTTATACCACAGCGCACACTAGTGGATTGATCAATGAAATCACCTGGAGAAGGAAATCTAATAGTTCTTGATTTAAGTAATTGGATTTTCTTCTTGCAGACGTAGCCAGATATTTTCTAAGTGAATATAGTAGCAAACTGTGTTTTCTTTTTTCAAAAGTAAATGCACATATCTCCAAGGATATTTGTAAATTTGAGATTAATAACAATGATGTGAAATCTTACATAGGAATTTCATAAAATTTATTTCCCCAAGGTAATCTGTTCCAACTTCTCGCTGCCAGCAACCTGGATTTGGAAGAACAGCAGCTACTGTATAAATACGAAGGAAATGCCATGACTTCATGACTCTAGCTTTTATTTCTTAAATGGAAAAGACTCACTGCATCTAGAATGCAGATTTTTAAACGTGCGCTTTGGATGATCTATAATATTGGTGTTTGTAAGGGCTAATTGCAAGCCAGGAGATGTTTTCAAGAGCTTTTTAACTCCTGCATGATCTGATTCATTCAAAGTAATGTGCTTTAGCACGACTACAGGGTTAGGGTTTTGTTATGTTGCTAGTGATACAGCACACACCTTATAATGCTGTCCATCAAACTGAGTTTGACTGGGTTAAGGAAGTGAATGTTCCTGCCTGCCTAAATGACTTAGACCTCTATTTTCTTTAAAGGTAACACTTTCTTAACAAAATTCAAACATACTACTTTGCTTTCTTTTAAGAAAAATTATGTGAGGACTCTTAATGCAACAGATCCTTGCATTCTGTATGTAATTGAACTATATGGATTTGCCATACGTGCTGTTGGATTTGAAATTAATTGAAAATGTTTAGGATGCTAATATGGATGTTCTTACAGCCGGCTCTGTGAAAACCCTTGCCTGTAATGAACCAAAGATAAACAATGTTGGATGTTATTAGAAATACAGAAAATATGTCCCCCCTATAAACTATATGATTCATCCTCACAGTGTTGTGCCATTTATTGGCACCCTTTCTTGGAGAAAAATAGAAGTGTTCAGAGATGGGTGATTTGATTTAAGGAAACTCATAAATGGGTTGAAAATATTGGGGCTGTTTAGAATAGAGAGATTTGGAGAGGCAAACAATAACTGAGTCCGTGTTAATTATACACGGGACAATAAAACAAGCAAAAGCAGAGAACTGTTCACTTTTTTTCTTGTATTGCTGTATAATAACAGAAGATACGAGAAGTGGACAGAAAGGCTCATAGCCCCAGTCCAGCTGATCTACAGCTGACTGCTTGGCTGTTGAACCATATTCATATTTAGCACGAGTTTTTGTTTTATTTTCTTGGCGCAAGTCAGGTTCTTGGATGTTAGGAAACATTGAAATGTAGATGCACTGTCCTGGTTTGGCACTCTGTTTCTATTTGCTCTGATGATGTTTTTACTTACACGGTCTCCTAACTCATTTTTCCCCAGTTAATTCATTCTTAGTGTTTTCTCGTTTGTTTGTTTGGTTGGTTTTAATACATATTTGAGTGTACTAAAGTCTGAAGGTTGGAGTGTAAATGACCCTATTCTTAAAATCTTGATCTCTTGATCATCCTCTAATAGTCTGAGAATAACTTGTGAAATTTCTGCCAACTTGCTGAGAAGGATGAGAACCTTATTTTTTCTTTCTTGAATAAACTGGGGAAGAAAAGTTCTGCAAAACATAAAAGAAGATCCAAAAGTGACTGGGTTTTAAGTTGCCCATATTAAGCAAACTATTTTTATTTCTGATGTTTAAAAAAAAAAAAAAAAAAAACACAAAACAACTTAAGATGTAGTTCCATCCTATGAAATCAAGATTGTGAATTTGCCTTTTTTGAACTCTGTGGGCTTTCCTATTTGCATTGGGGTTATCTTTCTGTTGATTTCATCCAGTGGAAAGAATTTCATGTGTGTAATATTTGCTTTAAAAAGAAAAAAATGAAACCTGATCACTGGGAATAGCATAACTGTATAGCTTTTCACTTTTGTAGGGACAAACAGACGTTGCAGAAATATTACTTGTTACAAAATCATCAACATTTTCTGTGCTTTGTATCCTGTGCTGGAATTGTAGATGCATGTTGTTTATGCAGTGCTTCAAAATGTTTATTTCCTTGTACTCCAGAGGAAAAAAAGAATCAAATCTAAACACTGCATACATTCCAAATAGAAGGAAGCTATGCATGCTTTGTAATTTTTAGTAAATAAAATAAAAATCGGACGGAAAAGTATGTTAGAGCTTTTCAACTTGCAAATATTTTTTCTTTTTGTGTTGTTGTTTTTTTTTTCCTCTTGCAGATTTAACTCTGGTTGGCCTCCACCAGCAAATGGAGATGAAATCCATAAAAGAGTGAAAAATATTTTAAGGACACACAGTGCTAGACAGCGCCTGGTGTTTGTAAGTTTGCATACTAAGTCCTTCTTTCCAAGATGACTGAGGAAGACAATTAATTGTGCTTTTACTCTTGAATTTATTATGATGTCTTTTGAGGCACACGTGATTTAGAAATTTGAATTTAATAAGTAAGCTGAACTCTTTCTCACTGTTTTCAGTAGCCTCCTTGTGTGAAGCTCTTGTGGACAGGTGGCAACCTCATAAGGGTATAGAAGACAATTAAATTTTCTTTATATCTGATTCCTCTGCTTTCACTGTAAGCAAAAAATGTTAGCGATCTATTATAGAACACCGTGGCTTAACATGTTGTGCATCTGCACATAAACAGCTGCTGGCGTCCAGCTGTTTGTAGAGCTAATATTATTCTCCAGTTGTGTGTGGATTTTTTTTTTCCCTCCCTTTAATTAGCTGGCTCTAAATGAAATCTAATGATATTAAGCCTGGGATCAGAATATTTTGTCCTTGAGTCTGATGGAATTTTGAAGTCTGATTTTAGACAGTCATTTTTTGCCACTTTGCAATTTTGAGAAACCCACTCATGGCACAGGACCTCTTTCAGCAAAGTATTTGTAAAATATTGTTCATCTGCAGAGAACTTAGGGGTCTTAAGTCTGAGATGAGGTAAAGGAAAGGTAAAAGGATATAAGGGTGAGAGTAGGTAGAATAGAGATAAGGAGCTCTGAAATTATTTTTTTTTGTCTGACAATCTGCCTCACTGATGTTATTGATTGGTTCAAAGAGATGAACCTCTCAAAGTGGGGAAAGATCTTTTTTTTTTTTTTTTGCTTCAGCTTTCTTAGAAAAAGGAGTGTTGACAGATGCTGAAGTTTTAGGCTACTGTTGTCCCCAGCTGTCCACCTCATCCCTCTGCCAGAGTTTACTGTGTCTGTGGGAGGCATGATAAAAAATGGGAGAGCCTTGGTCTCCCCACCTCACATTTCAATGAAGAGAAAGTAAGTGTACCAATAGTGCTCTGCTGACTGAGATGCAGTAACTACCATTTACTCCTGGCAGAGGGCTGGGGCAAAAAAAAAAAAAAAAAATGAGGTTGTTGTCTTAATTTGCTGCTGCAGAACATCTGCCTTGGCTCTGAAGTCTTGATTTATTTACTTATTTCCCCAGCTGTAGCCATTGTGGGCAGCGACTTGTGTTGCTTGTGTACTGTCTCAATCTGATAATTTTCTCATTTCTGGTCAATCTTTATTTACAGTTTAGTTGATGCACTTTTTGTTTTCAACCATGAAAAAGATTTTTCTTATGCAAGCTAAGGTTGTTTGATCCAGTTTGTGTTGTACCTTCTTCAGTTCATATCCAAAAATGACGATATTGTGAGCTGACAGAAATCTAGACTGTGCTGTTATGCAGTGGATGGCTGAGGTAAACGGGTCATCTTGAAAGTGAGGGCTTAGCAGAGGAAGTGTAGGGAAACATTTAGATGTACTGAGGAACGTGGTTTAGTGGGGAAATACTGGTGGAAGGTGGATGGTTGGACTTGGATGATCTTAAATGTCTTTTCCAACCTTGATGATTTTATGTACTTGCAATGGGGTGAGTGGATTTCTGGCTCCAGTTTGGGTGCTCTTCCAAACTTTGAAAGGTTAACAAATCTCTCTTACTCTGTTTTATTCCAAAGAATGTAATCCTAAACAACCATTCCCAGAAGCTTCCATCTGTGTTTTCCAAAATTTTGTTTCCATAGCGTTCTGTAAAAATAGTGTGACTGAAGCTCTGCTGCAGGTTCCTTAGGGTGTCTGCTGTAGCTTTCCACTGTGACATTCTGGCAGTATCATAATATTTCTTCTTCTCTTTTTTTTTTCTTTTTCTTTCCAGTACATAGTTTGCCTCTGGCAAATGCTGAAGAGTTTTATTTACTACTGTACCCCACTCTCTATTCAGTACTATGTAGCCTGTGACTGCTGAAAGAAGAGTTTTCCTGTTTACAAACATGCTTATTACCTGTATTGCAATGCAATAAATTGTTAGATTTTTCCACATCCACACTCCTGCCATTCAGCTTGTTCTATATCTTCTTGCTGTCTACTACTGTATTTACTGTCTTTTCTCCCAGGCTTGTGTTACCGACAAGTTTGATTATTTCAACTTCACAATCTTGTTTTCAAGTTTATTTCTTACGTAGTGTGAAAGGTAATTTTGTTTACTAATCTTTGCATCAATTAGCTTATGCTACAAACATCACTGAATGCCTTCTCTTCAGTAGCATCTCTGCCTTTCAGAGGAGAGTGAACGTGGTTGTGTATTTGTATGGATGAAATTTCTCCCACCCTACCTCAGGAGGGCAGCTAGCTTATTTCAAAAGAGATATCCTGTCTCATACATACCTGAGAAGGGTAAATAAGCATTTAAGCATGTTCTCTGCCTTGTGTATGGAATGGGAAATACGCAGATGTGTAGAATACTTCTGTCTGTTAAAATGCATTACATGAATAATGGTAGCTTAGTGGCAAAGCTGTTAACAGTAAGTTTTTTGTTCTTTCTCCCATCTTTTACAAGAAACAAAAGTAAAGCAGTTAGCAGTAGGTTTCATAGCATTTAACCCACATGCTTTTGGGTTATTGAAGCTTATGCTGTTTGCATGGTTCTTTAGATCTACAATGTCTAGAAATTTTTTCCAGTTTATTACCTGAGAATTATTAACTGAGTTGTGCTGAACTTAATTAAAAGTGTTCATAAATAGCATTTGGCTCATTACACTTTGTCTCTTTTTCCCCCCAAGAAATGTAAGCACTTTAATAGTTTTCTAAGTGGAAAGAAAGTATTTTTGAAATGAGATCATTGTAATCAGAAACCAAGGTAATGAGAATTTGATTTCTGGGTTTTTGTGGTTGGTTTTTTTTTTTTTTTTTAGGATGAAAGTAACTCATCAAATGGAAACTTGACTAAGACGAGACAATCTTCACATAAAGCACACTTATCCTTAAGTGATCTGCAGAGCAGGTATGGAGTTGAACCATCATTATATTGCCCCTTAAATAATAAAAAAAATTCTCTTCCTATTTTGAACTGTGTTATATTAGATTTACCAAGGTTTTTTGTCTAAAACAAAAATACACTTAAGTATCATTATACCATTCATTCTGTTTGGCTTTGTGTCAGTATAATCTTCATTAAATTCTGATTTTTGTTACTGGATTTGGTCATAAAAATGATCCATGGGCAGAAGCTGTTGGATTTTATCAGTGGATGAGTAAATAACTGTAACTTAAAAAAAATAGCTGTTTGGTTATCTTTTCTTAAAGTTACAGGAGTGCAAAAGTAATTTTAAGGTTCCTTTACTAATAAGGCTTGTGGATAATTTATTTGTTTTTTTTTTTCCAAAACAAATGCTTGGAAAAGAGGAGCATCTTAAAAAATGGTGCAAATACATAAGATGTGGTCTAGTGATTCAGTGTGTCGTATTTCAGAAGACATTTTGAACACCTTGCTTCTATAGGTTAATTGTTGTGTTGCCCTCATATTTATAATTAGGTTTTCTTTTGAAAATATTACTTAAAAGGCACCAGTTAATTTGTTGGGTTTTTTGTCCAGTTCTGTAGTCTGAGTTCTCAGTACTGATAATATCTATGTATGTGCGTGGTATTTTGTATAACTGTTTGTGTACTGCTGAAGGAAAGGTATGAAGTAATGCAGAGCACTTTTAGGGTTGTGTGGATTCTATTTTTCTTTATGACAAAACTCCTAGAACTATGGTGCTGAATTTGAGAGAGCTTGACACTTGAGGGGGGAAAAAAAGAGGCTTTACTTTGCTAATTAAATATAGTGCCAATTTTTTAACATAGGCTTCCCAAGTCACCTCTGTATATGAAAAGGAGAGTTAGTTCAGTGTTCAGCTAGTAGTGAACTTTGACTTATGATAAGTATGCTTTAATAAGTTCATTCACTTATTGGATTTCTAATTCCTGTAATTTACAGCTTTTTCCATGCAAGGGATCTAGTTAGTCTTGGATTTTCACGTGGATGTGGAGCTGCTGCAGAAGTTGTTAGTATTTCTGTACCTGAGCTCACTCTTGTATTCTGCATGTAGCCTTTTTGCCTCCTTATCCTTTGTGCAGAGAGATGCTGCAATTAAATTGTGTAGGATGTGTTTCTGAGAGAGAAAGTGCAAGTTTTTGTTCTGAGGCAGCTTTGGGAGTTTGAGATTGATGCTGAGACTGCAGACTATGAAACAAAAGAAGAAACAAATCCTAATACTAGAGAATCAAGAAGTGATGGGTTATGAAATGTGGCAGTCAGCTTGGGAAAAGACCATTCCTTGGGTTTAGAGGCCAGCAGCACTAATCCCATTCACTGAAGGGCGAGACATAAAAGGACTCGAGGACAGTCTGATTGCTGAGCGTTCACCTCAGTGCTCATAAACAGGATACAAGGACGGAGACAGAGTTCACAGAAGGACATGGTTCTGTCAACCAAACCTTGGCAGTAAAGCAGGTGATTCAGAACCGCTGGGAGTAAGGAAGAGGTCCATGTTTTGTGAAATATTTAGTATATGATTCACTCAGAAAAGAACTTCTGGGACTCTTAAAGGAGATGTATGATGGAACAAAAGCATCTGACAGGTATTTCAGAGCAGGGAGTTGCGTGCAGAAATCCTGCTGTTAATATGATTTGTGAGTGTAATTCCCAGATTGTTTAGCTCAGGTTGTCAGTTCGTTTCCAGTCAAGACAGAGGAGGGACTCTTCTCTAGGTTGGCTCTGTGTCCACACCAGTGCTAAGCATCTGGTGTGCAAGGTCTAAAACAAAGCTAAAGCATGCATGCTTTCAATTCTTTGTCAGAAGCAGAATAAGGAGTTTGTGGAAGTTGCTGTTGTTTTTAGAGACTTTCTCTTACTGGAGCTAAATTGGTTGTTTTTTGAGTGTCTCTCTGTAGATTAAGCTTTCAGTAGATGAAAATGAAAGTACAAAGCTGACTGCAGGAGATGGGCTCCAAGGAAAATGATGCTAGAGCTGTTTATTGTATATTTGCAAATTCTGTCCTTATTTGTTGGTTGAGAATTCTGTGTTGGAACTGAGGTGACCCAGACTGGGGAAAGGAAAGGGTAAAAGTTCAGTCGTTGATGGGTGCCCAAAGCATTGACTTGTCTATATTTAACGTAGGCCAATATAACTTTTCTATTGATTTTACCGTTTGGTAGGTTGGTTTCATTGCTTCCAAACAGTAGTGAGCAGATCACCCTCTCCAGGATGATGAGTAGGTTTAAATTTTCCTCATGCTGTTGGCTGACTTAAAATGTTCAGGCTTTATCTGCAAAAGTGGGAAGCTGACCTTTCCTCCTCCTTTAATATTGCAGGCTTATATAAATCTTTTTAAATGAGGTATGAGTTGATATCAGCATAATACTACTTTTGTTTTCTGTGGATGAATAGAAGCTTAGATATGTGAGTTTAAAAAAAAAAAACTCATACTACTGATCTTTCTCTTGGCTCACATTTTCCTTTCTTAAATTGAAAACCTTATGATTTAATATAGCTATCTACAGGTATTTGTGAGTCCTGTGACACGAGCCCTCTTCCAATTCTATCCTATATGCTTACTGGTGCAAACTTGAGTGCAAAGTTTTGAGGATTGGCTTGACAATAGTAGATCAAGAAATTATGTGTATATAACAGTCTAAAACTTCCCTGTGAGATGTAAGCCATTTCCCAAATGAGAATGGTCACCACAAGCTTCACGCTTCCCATTTCTTTTCCTAGAGCGAGAACCTTACTGAAAGGCTGAAGGTAACTCAGTCCTAATTTTTAAGTGTCATAAGTGCCTAAATATCTTAGCATATGTGACAAATGTCACCTCAGTAGTTATTTTTCTGCTGATTTTTCATCTATTTATTTCATGCTGTATTACAGGAAAATAGCTTACTTCATTATATACCATGATCCTTTGTTCTGAGAGTCTCAAGAGAAGGTACACAGTCATGAAGTTTAGATATACATGCTTTGGATCTGTCAATGTTTTGTAATGATTTTCAGAGAATAAATTTTATTTTGTAGATAAGGGAAATAATTTCTCAAAGTAAACGGACTGCATTTGGTATTGAAATGGTGACAAATAAGATGGGGTGGGAAAGGGAGCGCTTGATTGCCATTATGTCATAATGTGTTTGGTAGAATACTTAATCCAAGATGCTTCCGATAGAGCACTTTACTGCTGCAGCCACAGTAATTTAATATACCCCTGATAGATTGTCTTCATATTGAAATAGCTGCTTGTAGTTACATTTTGACCTTCAAAGGACCCAGACATCCAACTGTGTTGCTCTTGCATGGGCTCAGTGCCTAGTCACACTGCCTATCAAAATACAGCATAATGACTGCATGCTCTTTGAGAATTAATTCCTTCTTTTTGGAAAGGATTATCAAATGCACATGGTCAGGTAAGGGAGATTTTGTGTGAATGAATAATGTGGGGTGGGCTCCCATTTCTGATGAGTAGCTGCAGTGCAGATTTTGTTTCTAGTTGTGAAAGGTAATCTGTGGTTAGCAGCTTCGCACTTGGATTTCTGTTGGTTTATACTTCTGATTCCTTTCATTTATCTCATTTGATCATTATTTCTTATCTTTTTTTCTGTTGACAGTTCACCAGTGCAGCAGAACATCGCTGTTCACTTGGATAATGGTGAATTCTGGTCTAACCGTGCAGCTGTATACAAAGGGAAACCTCACAGAGCAATCTTTGAAGACAGTCTTGGGAAAATATATAGAAACATGTACCAAAAAGCTTCTGGCACTATTTCAGACCAAAAAGCACACTCCTGATGGCAATTCAGCTGGAAATGCACAGTACACAGTGTTGATATTTCTTAGCAAAACTTTTTTTAAGTGACAAATATTTGTACTCTATTTTTAAGATGTAATTATGGCTGGGCAGGATTTGGGAGAAATGGAGTTTTGGTCTGGGTTGCCAAATGAATGCTATTAGCACCCTCCCCCCCTCACCACCACAACACCTCTACTCCAAATTTAAAAAAAAAAAAAAAAAAAAACTAACAAAAAAGAGCCAAAAAAAGCCCTAAGTCCATCCACAGTTGATGAGAGTGATGTTGCTCCTTTGAGACTTTCTGAAGATAGCCATTTTAAAGACTAATATGTCTGCTGGAGGTGCCTGCCTGACATAGGTCGGGTTTCAGCTGCAGTCAATTATGATTTAAATAATTAAATCTATGTAGTAACAGAAGAAGCAATAAGTCCTAGTTTTCAGTGAGGGTATCTAAAGGGGAGGGTAAGTGTGATGGTTGATATAAATGGTTTGCTCTGGGAAAGAGAGAATTTGAATTGTTTTCTAGAAAATTAGCTTTGGGTTGTTTTTGAGAAGGGCGGAAAGATGACTTCAATAGTGACCTACAGGCATGCTTTCAATGAGATTTCAAGCACCTTTAGTCACAAATTTTCAAATAATGTCAAATTTTAGAAGAAACCTACCCAGATCAGCAGTCTTTGTATTAGAAGAAAAGCTTTCGTTGTGTACCCTGTGTGTTTTCAGGCTTTCTTGAATGCAGTCCTGACATTTGCAAATATCATTGTAGTTTTTAAAAATACAAATGGGAAAGGAGTGGGGAGGGGGAAAGACTGGAGCAAGATAGTCAGCAAGCTCATGTATCCAGTACAGGCCTTCTGAAGTGCCTGCATCACAATCCCACCTAATTTGGAGCCTGTCCTTGCCAGCCTGCTGGGATCCTGTTGGCAGAAATCGCATCCTTTCTGCTAAAGGCCACCAAATGTTCATCAGCGGTTCAATGCTATCCCGAGGGATGGAACCTTTTCAGCCTTGCATTGAACAGATCCCACATTAGCAAGCCAGGGCAAGTTGCCCATCTATTGAAAAGCCGAATGCTTTAAAAGGGCAAGAGTGTCCATCTCCTGCTTCCTTTTAGAGTGGGGAGGGGGGGAACACGTGCATATTCTGTTTCCTTTCCTAACTAAGTGAACAGAGTCAGTTATGCCGATGCCATTTTTACCTGTTATGATTGGATAAAAGATAAAGCTTGCAGTACAGATGGCAGAACATACGACTGTTACCTGCCAGCATGCCTAGATAAACAAAAAGTTGGTCTACTTTGCCTTCCATCCTTTAATGCTGAGACAACGTAATTGATTTGAGAAATCAGTTGGTAAGCAATTATGCTGGTAGGAAAGCATGCTGAAAGATTGTGTGCTTCTGCTTCAGGAAAGGGGACTCTCAGAGGAAGTGTCTTCCATACAGACGTTTCTATTCCTTGTAACAGTTAAGCAAGTTGAAGTGGATTAACACTGATCACTTCCTGTCCCTGCTGCCATTTAACACATTAGTGCTTTCAAAGGGTATTAGCTGCACAGCCTTACTCTTTGGATAACTGTTGAGGCACTCTGTGAAGAAGTAGTATGGTTTTTTGTTGTTTTTTTTTTGCAGATGTGAAAAAGAAAAACTTACCTGAGCCATGCCACTGAAGACATGGTGGCCAAGGAGTATTGTGTTACCAGTACTTGGTATTTTGTCATTAGTCCCATGACCCCAGGTTAGTTCAGAAAGGTATCTTGCTGCTCCTGGAAAATAAGCTCAAGGCACAAGCAGGGGATGAGAGAGTTCGGAGGCCACTATGAAAATTCTGGGTAAGATTTTGGAGAGATCCAGAGGATGTAACAGAATAATCACAGCATATGGTAAAATGACAACTTTTGATTTTTCATCATGGACTAAAACTAGATGGGAGAAATCGGAAGTGTCACGTACTGAATTCTGACCAGTATGAACATTCTCACTGAAGCCTTTGTATGCAGCATAACAAGTGAAGCAGATAGGCTCTGAGTGTCACTGGCCCTGCTCCAGCTGCAGGGAGAGATGGTGTGTACGTCTTTCTGCATCAGCTGCTGCAGGATATGTTTCTCTCTTGGGTCAGAGTCATTCCACAGCTTATATGCTGTGATACTGCACAGTTCTCTTCCAAGCACTGTGCTGGAAATCCAGTTGGGTTAATGGAAAGCTATTCTATGAAATGTGACTTAAAACCCAAAGTACTCTATCTGTCCATAAAATCTGCAAGCCACTTGTTTTTTAAAAGCTTTTGGCCCCTTCCCTGTTTGTTCAGCTAACCCTCCAATTAATATGCATACAGCTCAAGTGCACTGAGCACTGCTGCTCCTTTGCTACTGCAGCATGCGATAAGTATAGGTTCAGGCAACGAACCAACATAGTAATAAACTGTAATTGTTTAGTGCACCTTGCCTTCTAATACAATTTAAATCCCTTCTATCAAATGCAAATTTCTAGGTTCCTGAGTGGAGCTTTAAATAGCATTTTCTATGCTCATTCCTTATCTTTTGCCATCCACAAAGTGGTCTGTTAGTGACATTGGGATGGCATCGTTCCACCTCCATCATTTTACCTCCTAAAGGAAAGCTGCCTACTCAAATCTAGAAATAATGGGGTAGATTAAGAGAGAATTAGTGTGTTTTTTTTTGTACAGTCTATCTCTCTCTCTTGCCCTCCCTGAGCTATTATAACCCATGTGTATTATCGCCAAATGTTTTTCAGCATCCAGTATTGCTTGCAGTATGCAGTCTAATCAGTGTAATATTTTAATCACTTTCATTTTAATAAATCAGAACCAACTTCCAGCATGCTCCCTTTCCTACAAAGAACTTGATATAGCTTAGGACCGTGGGATGGCTCACTAGGCATATATTTGTCTATTTATTGGGCAGAATGCCAAATCCTTTGCTGAGTAGCAGTTGCTTTGGAAATCACTTGGTCGTTGACCTGTTGTGGCTTAAATGCAAAAAATATCTGACTTATTAATGATTTGTCTTATCAAAGTTTTCAACAAGAAGCAGGGAAGCTGAAGTTGATCTGCTGGGGGCAGGAGGCAAAGGGGCGGATGGAGTAAGGAACAGCCTTATGAGATAAATGGGTGGCGTGTTTGAATGACAGATCTGAAGTGGCTTTGAAGATGAGGGCTGTTATTTAGATTGTGCATCGTGTTTGAACTTTACTGTTACTTAGTAGGTTGCCAAAATGGAAAGAAATCTACCTATTGGTGTTGGGAACCTATTTATGGGGATAAGATAACAGAAGTTTTAGCTCTGCTCAGTATTAAATAGTCTGTGCTAAATTCCCTTTCGCTATTACCTCAGCTGTAAAATAGGAAGTTTGTGCTCTATTGAAGCTTAATTAAATGACTGTAAAGTGTTTTGGGATCCTGAAGTGAATGTTACTGAAATTTTCTTGTGGAAGCCTGGCTGAAAATTCCCATCTCATCTCCAAGTTACTAAAAAGACCTTATTCAAATGTTCCCAGATTTATTATGTTTTAATAAGGCAAGTATTAAGCAAGTCTTAAACTTATCAAGGTAGAAACCTTATACATTCATAAGACTATTGAAAAAGACAATGCTTTATCACAGATCTTTACTACAGACCTTCTCACAATGGGCATTTTATGCAGTTTATGTCTCTTGGATGATCTGGGTTCATCATACTCGAACTTCAAGGTATGCTAACCAGCACTGCTAACATCTATCACTTTGTTTTCATCCCTTCCCCAAGAAGTAAGGGGGTGCAGTGGTGCGTGCAACTTGGCAAAGGGAAAGGTTATATGGTGTTCAGGGATAGCCTATTATGTAGTGCTGATCTTCCTGATTTTTAAACTTAAAAGTGTTTTCTGGAACACTGAACTATGCAGCGAAATTCTTAGCTTTTCAGTAGTGGCTACTTAATTGTATGAATCTTGTAATGTGGAATCTCTGGGTCATAGAAAACCTAACCATTAAGCTAATTACTTTGCTATTACAGAGTGATTGTTATCAGGATGCTGACAACGTATCAAGAGATCTTTTAGGGGCCAAGAAATTTGAAGAAACTTTTAAATTGGTGGAAATTCTTCACTGCTTGGCTGCAGTGAAAACAATTGAATCTAGAAGACAACAGCATTTCTGTGAAGTAGCTCATATTAATGAGCTACTTCAGTGACAAAAATGGTTTTGGTGATGGTCTCCAGGAGCAGCAGAGAGCTGGTCTTTGCCCAGTTCCTTTGAATGTCTGTAAATTAGTGTTGTGGGAAGTGATCGAGAGCATCTAATAGGGAATATTAAGCATAAACCTGAATGTTGTTCATGATTTCTGCTGCTTGCCCACGGAATTGAAGCACCATCAACCAAAACCCTTAAAAAGTGGTGGCTGTAGTTCTTTCTGTTAACAATGTTGGCTTCCCACAGACATGTGATTTGTTCCTTGTGTTTGTCTTCAGAGAGAAATTCTCTGAAGTGCAGTGATAATTTGTCTGTTTGACAGCATGGAGGAACTGCAATCCTTCTCCTTTCTTAATCAATGTGGAGACTGCACTTTGTGTTTGTTTCTATGCAGCTCTAGATGATTGCTTCTGACAGAGAACTCTTTACAGGTGGGGTCTGAGCTGCCTTATCTCCTCAGGGGAAGGTGTTTGCTGTTACTAAACAAGGTCCCCTTTGGTTCATATGGATTTCCTCTTCCTTATGAAAACTTATTTGGTCAAACATTGGTGTGATGGCATGGAACCACTGTGATTGGATGGGGCAGGGATGGGATTTGGGAGCGCTTTG